TTTTTGAAAATGTTTTTATGAAGATTGTTGTCATTTAGGCCTACCCAAAGTAATCAAATGTAACACACCGACCGGGCAGCACGCTAAGTGACCCAAATCAAACAAACTCATAATTAACAAGGTGTTTGCTAAGCTAACATGCTAATGGATCCTCCAGGTGAGTTCAGTGTTCACCGAATCTACATTCACTGTGGTCTGTAATGCATTTCTGCGGTTGACAGTCATTTCTGATGTGATTGCAGATTTGGGCTCATTATTTCTGAAAGCTTTGAGCAGTTCTTTAGGCCAGACAGAATGAGTGGAGTGGTTATATTAAGGCAGAACCTGGAGCCAATTTAGGAGGCACTCGCGGTGACTCCAGCATTACGTTCAGACAGGTGAATAGGCCTCAGATAACAGATTTACTGGTTAATGTAAGCGGTGTGTTAGTGTAAGCAGATCTCTATTTTATTAAAAATGTGTGTGGCTGCAGTAGCTGTAGACTTTCATATTGTTCATACACAGTATATTGTCTGCTAATTCTAACATTGGTGGTATTTCATTTAATTTCTATCCCCCTATAAGCTAATGCTTGTTGAACATGCTGAGGTGTCCATAGAAGTTTTATTAATTATCAGTCATTTTTGTTTAATTGTGTGATTTGTGTTATTTTTGTGGTTATTTCTTGAGACTATGTTGAGACTATGTTGAGAAAAGCTATAGGCTACTTACAATTGATAATCATTTGTATGCATGGGATGCAGAGGGCCGCATTGTGATGCTTTTTTTTGTCTCTATTAGCCCAAATGTGTTATTCTGTCTAGCAATAGTTGTACGTATCAATCATAGAATATATTTCTTCTGTCTTTATGTTTATTAAAATATAGTGCAGCATACAGTATGTCCTCTTCTTTAGGCCTACCATAAACATTACGCAAGCTTACAGGAACATCTTGTGAAGAAGTCCTCATCCAGTCCGACAGGTTGGAGCATAAAGCAGAACGTTTATATATGATGACAGTATATCAGGATGTATACCTTAAGTGTGGTTATGTAACCAACCCACCTATAGATGACCTGATGAGGGCCAACAATGAAACACACAGGCTCACATCCAGGTCTCATCAAGCACTTCATAGTGATAGATGATATTGTTACAACACTTCCTCAGTGCAACTGGAAGAGTGTGTCTGGACAACGTCTTTGATGGCAAAGGTCGAACAATGTTATTATCTTGGTTACCTTTGCCAACATTTGATTTACAATGTGTTATTGCTGATAAACAGCAAAGAGAGGGCTGCTAATTTATTTGCTTGTGGGTCCCAATGTATAGGACGATATCGTAGTTCATTTCAAGAATGTAGTGCTTTTGAGATGTTTGAGTTGGCGAATGACTATGACACATTCAGCATGGACAAAATAACTGTAGATGTCAACATCCTTTGTCTGTCAAATGTAGGAAAATCAGGACTGAGGCTGTTTAGTTGTTTGTCACTTTGGAATGTGGTCAACCATTATACATTGTTTTTAACCTAAAACCAAAATCAAAGTTAAGGATTTTGCCTCTTCTGCAAGTTTTCATCTCTAAATCTCCCTGACATGCAAACCAGGTTTTTTTTATAGCTTGAACGAGAAGGAAGAGTTTATACTGGCAAATATCCACTGTCTATTGTGATGGTATGACTAAATCTTGAGATGTATGCCCTGATTGCACTTGACTTATTGTACTGGCTCAAGTTGTGTAACACTCAAGGGTGTAACTTTGGTTTGAGAAGTGGGGGGGACACAAAACAGGGGGTCCTCCGCAATGAACATTTTTCTCAATTTAATTTAATTTCCTGCCTTTCTACAAATATATTAGGGACTATAGTGTTAACAAATCCAAGAAAAATGTGTAGTGTATATAATGAGTGTGCACACTTATCTAGTATCCTATCCATGTGAACCTGTTTTATTTGTGATTACCTGACATCCTCTGGGGGGGTCCGGGGGCATGCACCCCGGGAAGATTTGTTTTCTTTAAATCGAAGCTAAATGCATCAATCTGGTGCACAAATGAAGAGATGTATGGATACAGTTCTCAACACTCATATAAAACAGAACTGTATATATTTCAATACTCCAAAAAACATTAGAATATGCTCACAAGCACAAATCATTGATAAACTCCTCTCTATATCTTTATCTTACCTAGTCTGCTTTCTTTCTTTTTATTTATGCATATTTGACTAATCACTCCCCTTTGAAACTGTGTTTTTTGATTTTTGTACTGACCTATAGATAGTACACATTGGAAGGATTTCTTAACTTATTTTATATACAACTAATATTACATAGATGGAAATATTTGTTTACATAGATGACCAAACCGTTTGAGACCCACTGAGATAACTAGACTAAAGTTTACTATCTAATCCAGGGGTCGGCAACCTTTTTGATATGAAGTGCCATTCTAAAAAAAAATGTTTATCAGCGTGCCGACGATCGTGAATTATCAAAGGGGGGGGGGTTGAAGAGCTCGACGAAAACACTCGTGAAAAATGATGTTTAAAACTCAGTTAATGGGGCTCATTCACTGGCGCTTCCACAAACAACCAACATAATTGTTACATTCAAATGAAGTACATTATTCAAGTTTACATTAACTTTGGATAATAACACGGGAGAAATGAGCGGAAGCGCTCTCTTTTCCTCTCTCCCCCTCTCTCTCTCCTGACAGCCTGTCAGTATCTCATGCAGCTCACTGATCCAGTAATGAGTGACAGTGAAGAATAAATATATTTATAACTAGTTCCAAAGGTAGATAAAATAGCTAAGTGTGTTAGGTCTAACTTGTGTGTTTTGCTCCGCTCACCGGTCCGTCACAGCGGGTGGAGCTGCAGGATTTCTGCTTCACACACGTTGCACCGCTATTTTATTGTCATTTTCGGACACCTTAAAATACTGCCAGACTGGTGAAGCGATTTTGGCGAGCTTGTTTTGCCGCACACAGAGAAAAGTGTCATGTATGTTACGTCTCGCGATCGGCCTTTTTAGAGAGCACCGATCGATCGGCAGAGAGTGAGTATCGGCCGATATCGATCGCCACGCAAAAACTGCGGCATTTTTACAGCTCCTTATGGGTACTGCAATTTGTGAAGTGCTTTCCTCTGTGGTGAAACTATCAGCACTGCATTACGGAGGAAAGCGGCAGAAAGTCGCCTGGAGTTAAAGAGAGTGGGGCTGCGTTGCGTGCATGGCTTCCTTCTGCAGGTAACGGGGAGACGCGCTCTGGCGGCGGTCTCGTTCAGGATCCAAAAATAAAATAAATATTTTGTACACTTATTCCTAGTGTGCCACTGGTTACGGTGCCGCGTGCCACCAATGGCACGCGGCACCGTAACCAGTGGCACACTGTATATACAATTTGTGAAGTGCTTTCCTCTGTGGTGAAACTATCAGCACTGCATTACGGAGGAAAGCGGCAGAAAGTCGCCTGGAGTTAAAGAGAGTGGGGCTGCGTTGCATGCATGGCTTCCTTCTGCAGGTAACGGGGAGACGCGCTCTGGCGGCGGTCTCGTTCAGGATCCAAAAATAAAATAAATATTTTGTACACTTATTCCTAGTGTGCCACTGGTTACGGTGCCGCGTGCCATTGGTGGCACGCGTGCCAGGGGTTGCCGACCCCTGATCTAATCTAATCGAATCGCTCAGCGAGTTCTTTACCTCCCTGAGCGTTATCTCTCTCAGTCCGACAGGAGAGAGCTCTCCCTCTCCTTATTGTTGAAACAGCTTCCAATTCTCCGTTAGCTCCGAGCTAGCACCAGATGCTAACAACAACCCAATCCTCCGTGACGATGACCGCTTGCGTAAAAAATAAATAATAAACACATTTAAAAAGTGGGGGGGACACAAATGGGATTTTGAAAAGTGGGGGGGGACATGTCCCCCCTGTCCCCAGTGGAAATTACGCCCATGGTAACACTGCTGCAATAAAACACCGTTCCTATGTTGCATCATAACTCAAACTATTAATGGGGGAAAGGAGAGACATCACACTTTTCTGATGCATAACATGTAACAAAATGTACTCAGTGTATTATAAATATTTTTTGACTGACGGTTTTTTACTTCTTCAGCAATTCAGATAAAACACGGCTTTTACTTTAGCACACGGAAGACAGTACAACAAAAATGTTGTAATGCTTTTCCTCAACCAATTTAAACGTTTTAGTTTTATGAATAATACTCCAGAAAGAGACTGTAGCTTTATTTATAGCAGTGCATCCTTTTAAATCCTCTCATAAAATGTAGGGCAAACAGGTGAAGGCTGCTAACTTGTCCACTGCCAGTCGGGTACACAGTAGGCAGAGGATGATGTGATTTAGGATTTTAATCTAGGAAAAAAAATTAGTAGCGAGATGATTATTACTAAAGCTAGATTATGCTCATTGTTTTGTGCTTCTCTGGTTGTCTGTTTTTCTGGCCTACATCCATGAAAATTACCACTGGGTGTATTTAGACTAAAGGAAAGGGAAATAAGCTGCTTCTATTGCAGTAAATACATACCTATTTCTACATAGTGCGTTTGACATCTGAAATTTGACTAACCTCCGACTGATAAATGATATCATTAGAAGTTGCTTGGTACCAGTATAATATCCTGTCATATTTATACAGTGTAGCACCTCCAAAATGTATTACAGGATCACTATAGTTAATTCAGATAATGGGCTGCTCCATCTTCCAGAACAAGCCAGGAAATCTCCATGTAAACATGGCATCCATCCACTTACAATAGAGTCACATCAGTCTACAGAATGAACTGAAACGCAGGGAAGAGCTAAAGGAATCACCAGAGCAGCACAAAACAGGGGTAGTGTCTAGTGGGAGGGGAGATAAAGAGAGAGAGAGAGAGAGAGAGAGAGAGAGAGAGAGAGAGAGAGAGAGAGAGAGAGAGAGAGAGAGAGTGAGCGAGAGACTATATGGAGGAGTGGAGGCAGTGGCCTAGATGTGTGAAACGCCAGGGGTTACTTTTTTGGTTCACTGGTTGACAACCGGAGCCAACCCAATAGTAGACCAAATGTAATGGGGAAGTTCTGAAACACAAAACTCAAAGAAAAGTTGGGAACCCCATCATTTGGAAAGGTTTTTTCAACCAGTCTAGCCTGCGCATTCTTATTGAACTTTTGTTTTGGAGGCATGCATCACTGACCAACATGTTGGTGTCACCTGCACACAGAGAGCATGTATTATCATGGGAATCCAAGGTGGAACATGTAGACTGAGACGCTCACACTGACACTAAATCTATTATTTTTGCTGGACGGTCAGCACAGCATTCCGCTTGACTGATCAGCGATGGCCTTGGAGGCAGACAGCGACAGAGGTTCATCAAGAAGCGCTCATGAAAAATATCCCCGGGCAGCGTTAGAGCGCAACGGCTACGTGAAGACATGTGTCACCCCGTTGCACCAGGACGCATGGAGCCAGTCGTGGCTGAGAGTCGCCGTGACATGGACTTGCCGAAGAGTGTCGTCTGCGGTCTGTGTTGCCTCAGTCTCCGTTATTCTCGCTCTGCTGCTCAGATTGGTCGACTGGGATGCAAGCAGCAGCAGCGACGCAAATAGCAGCGGCTCTCGTCTTCATTTCGTGGTAAGCTGCGCTGGGGAGCTGCTCTTGACTGTGTGCGATTGCGTCTCCCCCGTTTTTACACTCGTATGTGCCTTCTTCTGGGTCGGGTTTTATCTGATTCGTTGCGGGGTGCTCATCCGCAACGCGGTGTTTTTGTTGGCCGTGTGCAACTTGGGTGAAGCCGCGGCGCAGTCCCTCCTGCGCGGCGCGGAGGAGCAGCTGCTGTCTCTTCCCGCAACCCTGGTAGTCCTCGGCTGCCTGGGCAGCGGGGCTCTGCTGGTCGTCCGGCTGCGTCAGGGAGTGTCCATCCTCGTCTTCATTAGCGTCATCAGGACCGTCTCACTCATCTCTCTGGGCAGATTCCGGGCCAGCTGGAGACCCTACCTGGCCTACCTGCTGGGGCTGCTGGGGGTTTTGCTTGCGAGGTATGCTGACCGGCTCCTGCCGGCCTCAGGGACCAGCGGGACGGGGTGCTGTGGCTCTGTGACCGGGGCGAAGGAGGATGACATCCCTGTCTTCAAAAGGAGACGGAGGTCCAGCTCCATAGCGGCCTCGGAAATGATGGCTCACAGTCAGAGCAACAGCAAGTCCCACCGCAGGACTTCGCTGCCTTGCATTCCGCGGGACCAGGTAAGACGTGTTCAACTTCTAAACCAGAGCACCATTTACGTTTTGTTTTTGCCTTTCTTATTTCATTTCAGCTACTGTAGACCTGCTTTGCTTTTTTGTGTCCTGGCATTTGTGGCAGCTTTACGCACGTTTCCTTCTTGACAACGGGCAAGCCGGAGTAACACACATTGTTATAACACTATGTATTATTATGTTGCAATGACTTGTGTGCTTTACTAACATAGGTTGCAGCAATTGCGACCCATTGCTCACAAAGTATGTATGTGATTGTACGCCTTTTATGGTGTTTAGATCTGCAATCTTCTCTTCACCATGCACACAGTGCTGTTTATCGTTGCTCTGACACTTTGGTTAATTTGGTCATCATCATTGTGCTCTGCTGTTTTTTCTACTGATAAGGTGCACTTAGCATGCCACGTTACTGTGTGCTTGTTGGCGGGTATTTGTGTGCGGGCATGCATACAGTAGGTGTGAGATCTCATGTAAATATTTTGAAAGCCTCTGTTTATCCTGGGTGCTGGCAAGTGGTGAGGTGCACGTGTTTCCTAATTTAACACATGATGGAGCAAAATGTGATGGCACTGTGTCCTCAAAATAACCTCCTCTTGTGATACATGATTATTGTGGCAGCCTATTGTCAGAAAAAGTAAAAGTACAGATAGGATTATAAATGTCATAGTAATATTGTATATCAATCTTTAAAATCTTAATTAAAAAAGTATTCCTTTTGTTGATCCTGGAGGTGCCTGTTCTATTTTTGTAAACTTGCAGGATAGATAATTGGTAGTGACTGATGGTGTAGTGAAAAGAGGAGATATTTACAATGTGACCTGTGATTATTAACTGGGTGAAACAATTCAAGAATATCCTGGCTTTTTCAAAGAGCAGAGCACCTACACATTCTATACTTTCCTAAATCGTGTTTGTTTATATTTAATTTAAATGTGTTTACTCGTTGCCTGTTGGTTTACTGTTATTGCCCCTTGAACTTTAACACTTATATCTTAACATTTTCTGGAGAAAATCGCTGATTGCTTGCAGCCTAATATCATAAGTGATGGGTTTTGTTCTATCAAGTTACAGACAACCAGAGTAAGTTTAAAACACATGTATATACTAAGGTTCATTTTCTGTTGAATCAACACCGTTTTAGTACTTTTTAGTGCAACATCATTACTTGACAGAAATCACAATCTTCATAAAAAAGTGGGATCCCATTATATAAAGTACTTTCCCAATGTCCTCAGGATGTCTTTAACACCAATCCTTAATTTTTGCTTTGCTTTATATTTATTATTACTTAACAATGATAAGCCAATTACTATGCAAAAGCCTAAAACTGTCTGTGATATCTCTCAGCTTATATTAAAGCATTTTCCACTACTGACTCTAACATCTGATATGTATGCATATCACACGCTTACTAATTCACATTAGTATATCAAGAAAACATATCAATTCATAATTGCAGACGTTACCGCAGCATCCTGGCAAAAACAAAAAGATTCGGAGACAGTTTCTTCCCGCGGGCAGTGAGACTGTTAAACAATTGAACTGCTGAAACAATTTCAAAACATTCATCTGCTACTTAGTAATATATCTACTATCTAATATATATCATTCCAATAACTTGTATATAGACTCGTACTGCACTATTCCACATACTCACTTTATTTTAGAACTATTTTTCTTTTTGTATTACTTTTAATATCTGTATTATTATGTTGCATTGTTGGAGAAGCCTGTGCCATAAGATTTTCAACGACATAATTACTCTGTAGCTATGTTAGTTTGACAATAAAGAACCTTGAACCTTGATAATGTTTTCACGAATGGGTGATCTGCTGCTGAAACAAATAATTTGTCCACCAATCCAGCAGTTTTTGCCCCCGAGTGTGCATCATCTAAACACCAAGAGCTTTAGGGAGAAACAAATGAGGAGCTGGCAGTGTTATTGCCACATGGGAGATCCATTCACATGGATGTGCAGTGGGGATTCACAGTGATCATTCTGAGTGGGGGGAGCTTGTGTCATACTCACCCATGTGGCTTAAGTGGAGAAGCAGCGTAATCCTTACCGACACTTGTCTCTTTCTTCTGTTGGCTGGCCATGTTGCCTCGACCCATTTGTAGACTTTGAGAGACGGAAAGACCGTGTGACTCAGGAAGAATACCTTAATAGCTAAATGGCTCATCAGTTCTCTTCTATTGGTTTGTGGTGTAGTTGAAATGCTCATAATCTCTCAATGTGAGATGATTTATTTTGTTTCTGGCATACTAGCTTTCACACTTTATTGCTACCTTTTAAAGCTGCAATATAGCAGTGCCATATTCCTGGATATAAAAAACACCAAGATTTAGTATTTTAGTTTGCTTTTTTGTCGTCAACATTTTCACTGATAAAAGTTTATTTTATTTTTCAAAACACCCTCTATTTTCGACAAAAAAACTCACATTCTCTCTGTTTGTAATCATCTTTGTGAGAGTTAAATATAGGTCCTCAATAATAATTTCATAACATATCTAACATATCTTCCACAAGGCTCTCAACATGGCGACGGCTGAGCTGGCAGCTAGCAGCTAATGGTGCTAACATCGGAAACCGTGCAATCAAAGTAAACAGTGCTGACAGAGCAACATAGTGTTAATGTGAAGTGGAACAAGAGGGTGGGCGTTACACGTTCATGACAACGCTGTCGCTAGGCACAACATTATTAGTGGTCACTGCGCTATAACGACAAGTAGCTTGCCAGTTGAACCCACAAACAAACAAGGACTCACATGCACACACAGTCAGACCTGCTACATAAACAAAAGAGAAGTTTGATTTAAAACAAAGAGAGAATGCACATATGCTCAGCCATTACTCCATATCTTCACATAGCAAATCGTTCTTTGCTGCTATTAATGGTCTGAACGTAGAATTGAGAACCTTCAAGGCGTTTTATTTAGTGTTAATATGGTGGTGATGAGTCACCAATGGCCCTTTTTAAAGCAGATCACACACACCTTTCAGAGTGCCTTGATCCAGAATCACATGTCTCATCTCACAGTTTTCACTATTTCATTTGGAAGCTGGAGCTGACCCACATTAGCTGTCTGACTTTGGCTGCTTGGTTGTTCATTACTAATTGGTATCCAGGGAACCTTGAGTTACCGGACTATCTGTACTATTAAAACAGCTCCATTAGCCGTTCTGCTCTGTCATGTCTGGAACAAGACCGATGACAAATTGAACTTTGAAACTTAAACTACCTCAGAATTGACCAGTTGCCGAGGACAGCGTTTCCTCCTGAAGCCTTTCCTCGCTTTGTAATGTGAGGATCAGTGAGAGGAACATGGAGATTGATGCAGGGCACAGAGAAACACAAACAAATGGATTGCACCTAGGCTTCAAAGTCAAACAAATGACCAGACTGTGAAAAACAATGTAATTACCTGATGGAATTATGACATTTCTGTGTGTTTCATGTAATAATTTGAGAATGGTTACATCATATCCGTGTGAAGCAATGAGGCTGAGACTGGTTTAATCTGCTGCTACTTTTTTGTCCCTTCAGTGGAGCAGAAGCCTCCACGGACGTTTAAGTCACATGCTTCATGTATCATTCATTCGCTTAATCTGATTCCATCACCTCTGTCCCATTTCGCTTTTATTGATTCACCAACTTTACGACCCCAGCCTAGTGACGTATAAACTACTAGGCTTTATGCTAAGATGAAATATTTGCATTAAAACAGGTAGCTTGAAACACACCTAGTGAGGATGATTCAAGTGTTTATTTGAAAGGAAATTGTGAATCAGTAAGCAAGGAAGTGGTTTTGGACAAAGCCCAGGTCTGCATACCAAATCGTGTGGTACCATGACCCTAAAGGTGAGAGAGAAAGAAACCATGACATAATTATTTAACATTTTAAGAATACATTTTATCAGAATTAAATGAATGTACTATATAATAAACACAGTAATTCACTTTTTCTGTGTGTTTCAGTCAGCCGTGGATCATTTTATAACCTGCCATTTGTCCATTAATGATGTATTACAAAACAGAAATTCAACCATTCATCAAATGTTAAATTATCTTATTTCCCTCTCTCTTAAAGTCTCTCTCTGACACAATCATACACAGTTGGTAGGTCTAGTTTAACTTAACGAGATAATGAAGCTCTCCAGAGTGCAGTTCTACCTGAAAAAAAAGTGGGGGTTTTCATCAAGCGTTGGTGGTGCAGTATTCATGAAGCAGGCTGGTGCAGCCTGCAAAGCCAGAGGCAAGACAGGCACTCTGCTGAACTGAAAATGGGAAATAGCTTAGTCTATGTGGCTTTATTTCAGTTTTTTTTTCTTTTATGGGGGGAGAGAGTGATTTATTGTTTTGGTGTTGTACTGCTATGCAGAATAAATCAGCTTATATTAAGGGAGTTTTAAAAGCATGATGATAAGCTAAATAATATCTGATGATTTTTACATGAATTTGACTCCATTGTGATCTTCGCATAGAGACCTTGCATTTGACAGAAGTTGTTTGTTTTTTAACGAGGGTCTCAGTGGGATGGGGGTTTCGGGGGGAAAGGCCTCTGCTAGTGGTTTTTGTGTCACATGCAATTGAAAAGCAGTTGCTTTATACAAAAAGTATTCTTGTCATTTCAAAATCTTTGTTCACTTAAAAATGGAGGTCAGCCCTTGAATAAGGCCATTCTGTGTTGCATAACATATTCATCATCTCATCATCATATACAGTATGTGTCTGAAAGAGGAGGGAGGGCGGAGGGAGACATTAAAGCAGAGACATGTGCTCAGAGATCTATTTGAAGGAAGGCCCACATTCTCTCATTGACGCAAATACATTTCCAGAGAGACATTCAACCTGTTCCGGTTGCTGGAGCTATCTGACTTTGTGTAACATTGAGGCTTATTATGCCTTTGATTGAGATAATGGAGCATATTGTAATTATTTCTAATGAACACATAACAGGTTTTAACAACCCTTTTCAATCATGCC